TAGTATTGATACTAAGTGAATTAATTTAATTAGAAAATTAATTAATTAAAAATTAGCTTTTTTAATGCAAATTTATTATAAAAAGGTATATTTGAGCATAAGTTAATTAAACCTAAAAAAAATGACCATCATAATGGCTAGATGAATATTTTGACAATTAAAATATCATAAATAATAATAAAAAGTCTTAAATATGTTTAATGAATTAAGAAAAAATTATTAGCATAATAATATTGAAATAATTTTTTAGGATATCTAGATTTTCACTTTCTAATGTAATATTGTGCTCTTACTTTCTAAAAAAAACGACAATTGATGAACAAAAAAGTTTAATCATGTTACATTGCACGTAAATTTTTAAAGTGCAGTCTAATTATTGAAATTATTAAAATTTACTTAATAAAAATCTTTTATACTTATTTATAAAGAATAATTTAATAATTTTAATATTAAATTTGTATTTTTAATTTACAATATAGATTAAAAGTACAATTTGTATTGAAGTACATGAATAATCCCGTTGATAAATTGAAGAAACAAACACGGTGTTAACATGCGGCAGGGTTTTAGTTAGATTTTGGGTGGAGGGAAATGCGAAATATTGCAAAAACGCGGTGCTAGCATTCAGCTGCACAACAAAAAAACCTCTGCTTCGCTTTCATGGCGCTCCACCTGAGACTTCCTTATCTTCTTCGTCTCCGCCTCATGGCCTCTCATTCTCGTTTCTTCTCTCACTCTGCTACTCTCAACTCCCTCTCTTCCATCCCTCGTCCCCTTTCTCTTCTTCACGCCCAGGTTTCTTATTACTTCCTTTTTTCCTTCTGTATTCTTCTGGGTCTTGTTTGCTTATTTTCTATTTGGTTCCCGAGAAAACACAGGAAAAAAGGGAGTTTAGAAAATGGGTTTTTTAAATTATTATGTGTTTGCTTAAATATTCAGAAAATACTATAGACTGGGTGCTTTTGGGAGGATATATTGAGGAACTTTAGTTCTTTTGCTTATGGGTTTACTAGTGAGGAAGTATGCTGTATTAATTCTTCATTTTCCTTGCAATTAAACAGAGTATTAGCAGCTTTTACTTGTTTTGCATTTCTTATCCAGCAAATTTTCTGGGCTTTAAGGCTTTTGTTTGTTATGAAACTCCTTATTGATCTGGGGTGCTGGTTTTTCAGGTCCAGTTTGTCATTAAGGCGCATTCCGAATGGACTTTTGGTTAGAAGTGTGTTTTTGCCAAGAACGTTTATGTCATCCAGCATTACCAATGAAGCTTTTCAGGAAACCAGCAGCAGCTCAAAAGCATATGGCTCTGAGCAAATCCAGGTAGTTTAGCTAAATATGTAACTTTCTGTGCTTTTATATTAATAGATTAGTGCACTTCATCAGAAATGTATGATTAACGCGATAGTGCAGTAACTCATCAGACATGGCTACTTTGACTGAAAGTCTCTGTGAAATCTTGTTGCAGATT